TTCCATCCCATCCCATCCCATCCCTTCCCATCCCCCCCTGTCCTACGTCATCCCATCCCATCCCATCCCATCCCATCCCATCCCATCCCATACTGTTCCATTCCATCCCATCCCATCTTCCATTCTATCCCACCCCATCCCATCCCATCCCATCCCACCCTGTCCCACCCCACCGCACCGCACCGCACCGCGCGGCGCTCACCTTCACGGCCACGTGCAGCTTGGCCGTCTTCTTGGAAGGCCCCGACGCCTCGAAGGTGCTGCCGTCGATTTCCACGGACATGGTGAAGATGGGCGCGTGCACCGGGCCGGTCTGGGACACCAGCTTGTACTGCAGCCCGGGTTTGAGCTGGTTCAGCTTCATCAGGGCGTTCATGGCCTGCGGCGGCTCCACTTTCTCCTCTGGGCAGAAGCAGCAGCGGCCGTGTCGGCGTCTCCTCCTCCTGCACCGCGCCGCGTGGCCCCGGGGCGGCGGTACCCACCTCTCGTCAGCTCTATACCTTTTTTCTGAATCTTCTTCTTCTTCTTGCTGGGGGATTTCTCCTCCCCGTCCTCCTCCATGGGCCGCTTCATCGGGGTGACGGCGTACGTCGTGCTGGGAGGGATCTGGACTGCAACAGCAGGAAGGGCGGCGCTCAGCTCCGCGGCCGGGCGACCGAGCGGCCGCCGTCCCCCCGTGTCCCCCCCCCGGCGGTACGTACCCGTGTAATCCACGGGGTTCTCGTTCTTTGGTTTCTTGGGCATTTTGGAAGGGAGGGGGTCCATCCCCAGCACTTTGTGCAGGTGGCCGAAGGCGGCGAGCCGCAGCGCGTGCTGCAGAGAGCGGAGGCGGTGACGGGGCCGCACGCAACGCCCGCACCGCGCTGCTCGGGAACGCTTTACCCACCCCTACAAAATCCTCAGCGCTTTGCAGAGGACTCCGTGGAGCGGTCCGAGCTCGACCCGAGAGACGGGCGCCGGCAGCGAGTCGCTATTAAAACCTGCATCTCTGCCTCTGCTTGGGCCGAGCTACGCGTTCCTTCTGGGCGCGGGGCCCGGGGGGATCGTTTTAGGGGTCGGCCGTTAACTGATTTAATTACACCGACCTCAGCAGGGCCACCGTTAACCAACACGGGAGTTCGGAGTCGGGCGAACTGAGCAAGTTTTGTAACATCTGGAGGCAAAACTATACCTGAGCACTCTGTGTGATATCTTCCCTTTGTTGTCTGTCTAGATGCCCAATAGCATCAGTGGCTTCTTTTTCACAAGGATCATAAATACCAGAACCATCTGAAGGCAGGAAACAAGGAAGATATGCAGAGAATTATCCTGGTGCTTCCAGAGAAACTAAACTAAGTATTCCCTTGGCATCAACCAACACTCATCTCTCCGAGAACGCCGGCTGCGATCCGTCCGCCGTTCTGAGCCTCGCCGGGACTCGTTAACGAGGACAATTAGCCCGGCTTGGGGGGGCGGGGGGCGGGCGCTCAGAGCCGCGGGGACCCCGCAGCGCCGCGGGGCGAACGTGGGTCCGAGGAACGGAGCACCCGCGCCCCCCCGGGGGGGGGGGGCTGAGCTCCGCCGGCGCTGGGGATGCAGAGAACCACCTAACCTGGCATCACGATCCCCGAGGCGAGGCACTCCAGCACCCGGCGCAGCGCCTCGCCGGCGCCCATGGGCCTGTTGGCGGTGCCGATGGATTTCTCGCACAGCAGCTCCAGTGGCTGGAAGACATTGGGGGAGAGGTGAGAAGCGGGGGGAGGCGCGGGCAGCGACGCGGCCGTGGGCTCGGAGCGGATCGCGGCGTGGCGGGGCGGGGAGCAGCTCGCGGCGGGACACAAATCCGCCCTTCTGCCCCTAAAGCTCGCTTCGAGTTTCTGAGAACGGGCTGCTGGTTTTGGGGGGAATCCCAGAATCCTACGGAGGGTGCGGTGGAAGGGTCCTGCAAGGCTGCAGAACCTCGGAATGGGGTTGGGGTTGGGTTGGAAAGGGTCCTCCAATGCTGTAGAACCTTGGAATGGGGTTGGGGTTGGGTTGGAAAAGTCCTTCAAAGCTGCAGAACCTCACAATGGGATTGGGGTTGGGTTGGAAGGGTCCTCCAAAGCTGCAGAACCTAGGAATGGGGTTGGGGTTGGGTTGGAAGGGTCCTGCAAGGCTGCAGAACCTTGGAATGGGGTTGGGGTTGGGTTGGAAGGGTCCTGCAAGGCTGCAGAACCTCGGAATGGGTTTGAAGAGTCCTCCAGGGTTGTAGAACCTCAGAATGGGTTTGGGGTTGGGTTGGAAAGGTCCTTCCAGGTTGCAGAACCGTAGAATGGGTTTGGGGTTGGGTTGGAAGGGTCCTCAAAGGTTGTAGAACCTTGGAATGGGTTTGAAGCGTCCTCCAGGGTTGTAGAACCTCGGAATGGGTTTGGGGTTGGGATGGAAGGGTCCTCCAAGGCTGTAGAACCTTGGAATGGGGTTGGGGTTGGGTTGGAAGGGTCCTGCAAGGCTGCAGAACCTCGGAATGGGTTTGGGGTTGGGTTGGAAAGGGTCCTTCAAGGTTGGAGAACCTCAGAATGGGTTTGGGATTGGGTTGGAAGGGTCCTCCAGGGTTGTAGAACCTTGGAATGGGTTTGGGGTTGGGATGGAAGGGTCCTTCAAGGCTGTAGAACCTCAGAATGGGTTTAGGGTTGGGTTGGAAAGGTCCTTCCAAGTTGTAGAACCTTGGAATGGGTTTGGGGTTGGGTTGGAAGGGTCCCCCAAGGCTGTAGAACCACAGAATGGGTTAGAGTTTGGGTTGGAAGGGTCCTTCAAGGTTGGAGAACATAAGAATGGGTTTGGGGTTGGGTTGGAAGGGTCCTTCAAGGCTGTAGAACCACAGAATGGGTTTGGGATTGGGTTGGAAGGGTCCTCCAAGGTTGGAGAACCTTGGAATGGGTTTGAAGAGTCCTCCAGTGTTGCAGAACCTCGGAATGGGTTTGGGGTTGGGATGGAAGGGTCCTTCACGGCTGTAGAACCTCAGAATGGGTTTGGGATGGAAGGGTCCTTCAAGGCTGTAGAACCTTGGAATGGGTTTGGGGGTGGGCTGGAAGGGTCCTCCAAGGCTGTAGAACCTCAGAACGGGTATGGGGTTGGGTTGGAAGGGTTCTCCAAGGCTGCAGAACCTCAGAATGGGTTTGGGGTTGGGTTGGAAAGGTCCTCCAAGGCTGTAGAACCTTGAAATGGGTTTGAGTTTGGGTTGAAAAGGTCCTTCAAGGCTGTAGAACCTCAGAAAAGCTAGGGGTTGGGTTGGAAGGATCCTTCAAGGCTGTAGAACCTCAGAATAGG